GCGTTCAAATCGTATGGCGTAATCATGCACCATCATATTACCCTGTCTCAGACTCAGGAACTCAGTCTCCTTCTGAAATCTAACACTGTCAGGGAAGTATTTCTCCAGAAATCTCTCACGGAAAGTTTCCCAATTACACACTTCCCCACGTGCAATCATCATCCTTTGAGTCCCTGACCACCAGAACTCAGCCTCATCAACTAGTAAGTATTTCCCGAATGTCAATTTCCTGTCTTCCGGGCATAAGGTAGCCTCAAAAATCTTCTCCACTTCACGCAGCCACTTCTCTGCTGCATCTGGACCCAAATCTCCTCCAAAACGAGGCGGATTATGCCTCATGAACTCAGTCAGCCCCATCTGTTTTGATTGGTGATATCCAGCAGAGGATGATGCCATAGTTGGCCTCCACTACGGGTAGGTAGCCTGTTGCTGCATGGCAGCTGCCAACATTTTCATTGCCCTGGCTAGGGCATCTACACTCGGTGGAGTAGGAGTAGGAGTAGGAGGTCGCGGTGCCATCCTATATCAAACGCAACCATCAATACAGAGCAAACATTCTCGCACTCACAATCAGAGTATAATCACAACGGACTTATCATAGGTTCACTACTCATCCTCACAGATTTACAAGGATACTACCGCTCTGATACCACTATTGTAACGACCCTAGAAATCGCTACGATAATGATGTCTTCGCAAAGTAGTAAACAAGTAAATAACAACATTTATTTTACATTATATTACTGTAATTGTAACATATATTGAAATTCCAGTTCACTAACGAAACTTCAAAATATATTAACATCATTTATTTATACATTATACATGTAACAGTAGCTCCCTCGAAGCTATCCCACTGAACTATCCCTGCTGTCCAGTAGTCCCATCACCATCTCTCAACTCCTGATCTGCTCCCACATAAAAGTGATCATCGCAGTCCCATCCACATGGAAAAATAGGGGTAAGTATTAATTCATTCGATATAATTAAACAGATATAGAAGTAATAATTACATATTATAATCAATTACAAAATCATCAACACACTAAAACACCTTTCGGAAGTATACCCTAACTATGCCCGAACTCAGAGGCTATCATCTGTGGGCACATTGTGATCGGTACCCGCAGTACCATTCTGACCACCCTCCACACAGAGTAGGATTACTGGCGCCCTTCATCACTCATACTGGAGTACCCCTCCGAGCGCGCCACCAGTCATCCCCCCATCGACTTCTCACCACCTGATCTCGTAGTCTACCTGACCCGACCAATCAGTGAAGTCTGGGACCTCATTCAGAATTCTCTAACATAGTTATTACACTAATGTACTCTGTACCACCCCGGGTACCATTCAAACATAACAAAAATTATTCACATTTGCCGGATTCTGGACCACATGTCCTCACGGCTCATTCAAGTCAATAAAAATAGTATTTGACTGATTCTAGCACCAACCCTCCGGCTCAGTCTAGCCAATATATAATGTCTCAGGACTGATTCTGGGCATCAGCCCTCAGGCTCAGCTCGACCCACACACGTCACAACACACTACTTTCATTCTCTCTCTATCTTATATATATATATATATATATATATATATATATATATATATATATATATATATATATATATATATATATATATATATATATATATATTTCTAAAATAATTTCTGAAATCATTTCCGAAACTATTTTTGAAATCATTTTCAAAATCATTAAATTACTATTTGCCCTTAATCTTTTCTTAACATTTCATGTATGTCCCTAAATGACTATTTTACCCGTGGAAAATTTTGAAAATTCCATTTATGTCCCTGTGATGTAAAATGACTAGTTTACCCTTGATCTTTTTAAAAATCCCCACCATATCCCTTTCTTTTTCCATCGCTCGCTCAAGCGAGTACACTGGTCGCTTGAGCGAGATGGAACCCGAGAGTCCTCTTTGTTTGAAGCATCCATCGCTCAAGCGAGTACACTAGTCGCTTAAGCGAGACATGACCCGGGAGTCCCCTTTGTTTGAAGCATCCATCGCTCAAGCGAGTACACTAGTCGCTTAAGCGAGACATGACCCGGGAGTCCCCTTTGTTTGAAACATCCGTCGCTCAAGCGAGTACACTAGTCGCTTGAGCGAGATGGATCCCGAGAGTCCCAAATTTTCCAGGTGTCTTCGCTCAAGCGATGTATTTTTCGCTTGAGCGAATTTTGCAGGTTTTCCAGTTCGCCATTTTCGAAATCCAAGTTTCAAATTTCTCAGTTTCAATCACCCAAATTAGTTCCAAATCAAAATTAAACCATAAACATGTTCAATTTAAATTAAAAACAACACTTTTATTATATAATTCATCCTTAATTTCAAGAATTTCTAAAACTTTTAAACGGTGAACAGTTCATCAAAATCAGAAATTCTGCAACAAACATTCTTCAAAATCAGACATTCCAATCATTCATATCTCTACTCCTATTCCTTAATTACAGAGTACCAACAATTCAATTTCATATATTGAATGAATTAAACTTCCCCTTACTTGGTATGGTATTTCTACCGAAGCTTTCCCCACTTAATTCAAGTTCTCTCCTGTTTCACCAGATCCTGCACGAGTAGAGTCTCGTTGCTTAAAATTTAGACAATAGAAGAAGAAGGATGAGAGGAAAATTTTTGATTTCCCTCCTCCCCCGCTTCAGTATTCATATATATAAGAAAATTTTTACTATGCATGAGGAAAACTTCGTTACGAAGTTTTCTTGCACAATAATATTAATATAATATTAAAATAATCATACGTCACAAGTCATTGTACCATAATTAAGTGGATAAGATTTTGGCCATTTTATGTACCACAAAACACAAAAAATCTTGCAACTGATTATCATTTGTTGGAGAGAAGACTAAATGTTTGACATTTTTTTATGAACTTTTGAAGTCGATGTTTAATAATAACTTAACTTGTACAGATAGTGATAATGTCAGACTAAGAAAAGTTTAATCTTTGCCAATGAGAATAACACTTTCAGGGTTTTCTTTTCGGCTAAGAATGCATTATTGCATCAAGAAATTCAAGGATTTTTCACCATGTGAAAACAAATTATCGGTATAATTTCTTTAAGTGATAAAAAATAGTTATTAAAATAAAAATATAACAGTTTGTATGAAAAAATATATTATAAATAAAGGTAAGTTTTTTTAAAAAGTATGTATACACCACAAATAATTATAAGAATTGGTATCCTATATTATATGATTGTTGTAAGCAGAGGAATCTTTAGAATGAAAATATTATAGTGAAGTGTGTCCTGAGAAAGCCACAAAATTTTATTAAAAAAAGCATTATTTAGACAGCATGATTGTGAAAAGCCAATTTATTTGTCTTGTGACAGTTGGCTTTTCTTAAAGAACATGGTTTCTTTTCTGAGGCTTGTCTTCTATGTGTTAATAATATAGGATAAATTTGGGTTTAATCCCTGTAAAATATTTCTCTTTAATTTTCATCTTCTAATATTTTAAATTACTGTTTTATTCTTTAATATTTATTTTAAGAAAATAAATAACATTCATTTATAGATATTCAGAGTTTATTTGAGAGGTCACTTTTTCCCATTAGTATAAATATCAAATTTTTAAAATGTCAATTAATATCATACATTAGTATAAATTTAATAACTTTGTATGTAAACTAAATATATTTGAAGGTATATGGATATAATTCATATAAGGGTGTTATGAAAGTGGGATGAAATAATTGGATTGGTTGGGAAGAGAACAGAGAAAAAAAAAAAGTGTGTTTTGGGTTGAATTTGTGAAACATGAGAAGTTAAAGTACAAGGTAATAAAAGAGGAGGTTGAGTTCTTCAGTTATGGACCACAGTTTCACATTTTTGGGGTTTCAACTACTTTCACAATTAAAGACCAAGAAAACAAAAAATTGTGTCTTTAAAGGGAGTGGGTTTTAGGAACTACTTTCATAACTTAATCATAGAAATTGTAATTAAACTACTTAGTCTAATATATTATTTTTTACCAGTTTGGACAAATCATTGGTGTAATTCAACTCATTTTCTTATCTTAATACATTTTTACTGAAAACAACTTTTCATTAATTCACTATCATCATAATATTTTAGACAAATAAAAAATATATATATTAAAAGCCATTTGAACTTATTTTATTAAAAAAATGTGAAAATTACATTAAAAAATAGCTTAATTAACAAAATAATGTTAAGAATTATTACCAGAAGGATTGTTGCAATTGATCTTAGTGTCTGTTTGACCAGTATTAATAAATTTTTATTTACCGTAATAAATTTTATTATAATAACTTTTTTATTAACAGTCTTAGATATAGTTAAGAATTTAAAGTCAACTCGGTTAAATTGAATTCAAGGAAAGTTCAAACAAATAAAAATGTTTGAGAACCATCATTATATACACGAAAGAGCACATCAACCAACAATTCTGTCAAAGTAAAATCTTTGGCAGAATAAAATTATATCATAAGTTGACATTTTGCAATGTTTGAAAACATAGAAATTTTCTCGAAAGTATAAATTATAATTATATAGACGTCAAAAGATATTAACTTTCAAATATAAAATATATAATAAAACATATTACAAGTTACTGTTATATTTATAAAATCAGTGTATTTATTAAAAAAATAAAAAAATAAAGCAATGGAAACACATTTAAAGAACCAATAATGTATTTTACTCTACCATCACCAAAAGGAAAATTTTAAACGTAGTATGAAAGAAAAATGATGGAAAAACAATGTAACAGTGGCATGTAGAGATGCGTTAAAACTACGTTTTGTCTGTCCCTATTAGCTCTTGCTATCTTATCTAAGCCATTTTATGTTCATCAACTTGCATGATCATTGAAAGTGAAACGTAAGCTACACAAACATGCCACCTTTGAGATATTAAAGCTATAGTACTCAATCATTGCAGGTTACAGTACAGCCAAATTTTGCTGCTCTTCATCTACAAGTTGATGTCTTCAGTCTTTCTTCTTGTCTGGTTCGTCCAGAGCGGCCAATCTTTCAACAAGGGGAGGATGAGAATAGTGATAAGCAGAGAACCAAGGATCTGTATTCATAGCTGACAGATTCTCTTCCTGAAAATGCAACCATAAAAGGATTTTGGTTCCATCATCAGCAATAAAACTACTTTTTTCACATAATAAACATGAAGAACGAAAGTGAAAACTGAAAATATATCCACAAAGCAACCCGAAATTAAAAAAACAAAACAAATCAAACTTCATTCATAACTTAAAATTAATTTATGCTTGTAAGCTTTTGACCATGTTGTTTAAAGAAATTTCTCCATTAAAGAAAGATAAGTAAATAAAAACGAAAAAGTAAAATAAACTTTTTCAGAAGTTAAATTAGCTTATGCACAAATTAAAATTAGTGTTTGAAGAAGCTAACGAGAACCCTTTTACAAATAAATTCATGTATAAGTCAATCTGGTTTATGAAAGAAGCTTATTCATTTTTCCTTCTTATTTTCTACTTCTATAAATGCTTGTAGTCTAAACAGGGCCTTTGGAGGAAATAGATGAGAGTGCTTCTATAAAAGTTAAATGCATAAGTTGATTTTAACTTATAGGAGCAATTTAATTCACTTTATCCAAGCAAACCCTACTTCGAACTAGGAAAATAATAGCATGCAAGCACATATAATAAAATGTCACCTGTAGTTTCACAAGACCAGATCGTAGTTCAGATGCATATCCAAGCTTCTTAGCAAAGGCATCAGCCTGCATAGGATGTTACGCATAAACAAAGTCAAAAGGAGACAAATGACACAAGAAATGGGAGATCAAGTCTGTGCTCGGTCTCAGTATGAGTTAATAAGGGTAGGTGGAAATAGTAATTATTTGGACAAAATAACCTGTAAACAAAATAGAGACATATTGTCTACTAATCCATCTTCACTCCAACAAATAGAGATGAAAGAAGAAGAAAAGGAAAGAAACCTGAAATTCAAATGATCGGCTGACAAGGTTCAGACCAAAGCTGACCAATTGCTGAAGTGGGATTACAGTATGCTGCAAATAAATCCAGGTCAAAGGATGTTAAGTGCTTAATAAAATCTTCAATGACGCTGCAAAAAGAATAATGGCATGACGGCTCAAACTTAGGACTTCTGCAAACTACCTAAACAACACCCCCAATGACTTCATTACACTTGTGTTTTAAGGCTACCCAATAGCAAGGATCAATAGCTGTAATGTAATGAGGTCAACCGGGCTCTTAGTTTTTTTACCGGTAGAAGGGAATGTCTGAAATGGTAAAGCTAAATGAGTTTAAAAGTTAGAAACTAAACATGGTTCCCAAAGCAAAATCTTGGATGCCTCACATGCTAGCATAGCCTTTGGCAATCTAAACAGATTATGCACCTTACATGGACATTTTGAGATGATTGAATGGCCAATGCAGTGGTGATACAAAGCTCTAAATTAAAACAATGGAACATTCAATTCAGCTAGATAAAGGCCAGGGTCTAAAATTACAAAGTCAAGGAAAAAGATATTTAAACAAAAAGCAAATAAAGGAATATTCAATTTCAGCTCTCCTTAATTGTAATAACAGTCTGTACTCAGAATTAAAAATTCTGTTGGTTGTTGCTTATCTAATTCTGGCTTAGGAAAACAGGTTTTATTGGAAGGCAGAATTATATATAGAACCTTTGTTCTGTTTTTTAGATATAATGAGAAGTCTTCTAGTTTTCTGTATCCTCTACAATTTTCAAATAATTGTGAGCAAGTGAGTGTAAGTGAAACATATCAATTTTTGAACTATAACATTAATACAAAGAAAAGCTCAATTTTAATATTAACATGAGATGTTGAACAAGCCAAAGAGCATACATAGCTATTATATTTAAGTAACCCACCACATTATAGATTGAATTCGTTACACAAGGAGGGTAGATGAACAGAAGGCATCATCTCAAATACATATTCCATTTAGCATTAACTATTTTGAATGTTTAATCATTTCGTATATCATGCTAATTGAATATATACCAAACAGGTTATGTAAAAAGAAACAAACATTATCCGATCATTATACGCTGCAGAAAGATGTACATCCAATAGAAATCAAGCAAACAATATTTTAGAATTTTTTTTTAATAAACAAATATTAGTTGTTAATATGTTAGATTTTTGTTAGTATGAGGTTAAAAGCAACAATTTTGAAATGTACCTGAAATAAGATGAGCCCAATGAGAACTGGCTGGGTATCAAATCCAAAACTTCGAAACAGATCAGTTGAATTTCGCACCAGTGTATATCCTCCAAATTGCAGAAGTGTAAGAATCTACAACAATATATCAAATCACTAAACATAAACCCAAGATAAATATTTCAATACCTTTTCTGTTAAACATTTAATTCTATTGAGATGATGAAAAACACAAGCAAGCAATGCACTTGATAGAGACAGAACAAAAAGTGATAATTTACACTTCCCTCCCACACTTCCGTTCCTTCTATTTTAAAAAATAGTATCCCCTCCCACGAGATTAATGTATGAAATTTCAATATATATTAATGTGAATGAGTTTGTTATGACATTTTTTTTCTCTTTATGACACTCAGCATTATCAGTGATTAGTTTTGAAGTTCCAAACTAATAATAGGGTGACCAAATTGCCTATAATCCAAAACTCAAATAATAAGAAGCCCAACATTAGCTGTAAGCAACACTGCAAATTTCAGAAAGAATAATATCCCTAAGAGGCTCGTTTTCCTTAAATCAGACTGAAGTGTAACATAACATAATCTCTTATTGGAAGGAAGTGTAATTGAAGCCTCGAAGATATGACAGGGCATCATTTAAGCGTCTCTTTGGGAAAGGAAGTGTACTTTACCCTTTAATAAATTTTAATTTTAAGATAATCCAATCAAAGCATGCCTTGGATTTTCTAAAGGTATTCCACAAAAGAGGAGGATTTTTCATTGAATTTACAAGTTTACAGCAGAATATTTCATTGCCACATACATTATTTACAGTTACAAGTTCTCAGTGACGTTGTGCTTGATGGTTTCACAAAGGGGAGTCCATAAATATTATCATGTGTCATTAAATCAGAGGCAATCTAGTATTGACTTTCAGTTCAGTAATGCTATTACACGAACCTGCATCGCAACAAACGTGTACACAGTATGGTTGAGCTTCCAGTGTCCCAACTCATGGGCAATAACAGCAACAATTTCCTCATCATTTTTACACTGTGTAACACCATTCATTAATGTAAGGATCCCTAACCACAATTCTTAAATTGAGTACTTAATAAGGGCACTCACCATAAACTATCAAATATATCAGTGCCACTTAAAGTTGAAAGTAAAATCAAAAGATTGCAAAGGAGCAGTCATTTATGCAAAAAATGCCAAGAACGTTAGTTTTTCATCAAATTCTCACGTGAGCTAGTTTGTCATTAAATCAGAGGCAATATAGAGACAATCACATAATGTTGGAATCACAATTACTACCTTGAAAAAAACCACTTCTATTAAAAATTTCCCCCTCTGTGATATTTAGATAGCTACATAGTACATACATTCCAATAGTTTAAACAGAAGCAGCATATATATAAGAAATGATATGAAATACATCAGAAAGTAATAGGAAAGGCAGCCATTACAAGGTCTTTTCATTAATTCAGGGAGTAAAAACTTCTAGTTGATTGTGGAACAACAGATTCCGTCATCTCAATCAATTTGAACATAAGCTTTTTGTACAATCTAACCCTAGCTAGCCTTTAAAATAGGAATTTTACAATGTAGGTAGCATTTCATTGAATGAATACATTGGGAGGGAGGATGGTACAAACATTTGCAAAGTTTCGCTCGAGATTATATTTTATTAATGAGAAGCAGTTTGAGAAAACATAAAAAGTATGAATTTTATACAAATAAAGCTCTTCTAAAAGGCTAAAACTCGAGCTATAAAACAACCTGAAAGACAGAATAACTTTCTACAGTTATTAGAAATTCCTAACCTGTTGAATTAATGTGTCATAAAGCACAATCCTCTTGTTCTTGAAGAATCCATACATATAAGCCTGCAATATATATTTAGATAAATTAGTTCAAGCAAATTTACAAACTGAAAATAAAAAATTGAGAAATATTATTTTCTATACTTTCTTTTTTTATGACATAAGAAATTAAAAGGTACGCAAATTAGAAAGTGTGTTCACATATCTAACTCAATATTCTAAGACAAAAAAAAAGAGCATCCCCAATACGCCATCATCATGAGGTTTTTCAAGAATCTATACCCTAAGCAACTCAGCAGTGAAAACCACAAACCATGTAAGCCACTCCACAACAGAGTGACATCAAATACAATCCTATAATTCCATCAACAGATGTATGACAAAATTTGAGCATGCGATATTAAAAAAAGATCTTCCAAGGACATGACTTCCTGCTGCATATCCGTATTGTGTAACCTATTCCTACTGCTATTCAGCTTTGATCAATCAGCACCCATATAAAAACATGTCCTCCCTTTTTTAAAATTGGGCTGCGAGGAAAGGTGCAGTGTTCAAAACAATGTCATACTAAATTAGTATTAACAAAAAAGAAAACAAAATGGGAAGGTACCTAACCTTCAGAAGTATTTGCACAAGGTTCAGAAAAAAAGCCATTATTCAAGGCCCTTTATAAATATGTGGCTACACAAACATTTATCATAATAGTTTATTGTGTATTAAAAATATGTGCCCATGAGCACATATGACGGCTAAAGTATAATTGTCCCAAGCAATTCAAAAACAGATAAAAAAGGACACTTCTTTTAACATCCAGGCCAAGCAAACAAACAACATAAGAAAATTCACAAGGGTTCGCATTTAAAAAATAAAAAAGTCATGGTGACTGACAAACTGCAATATATTTGAATCCTTTGGGTGCAGACTAAAGAGAAATTAAGGCTTAATGGATCTCAATGACAGGTGTATTGAAAAATACCAATTAAAGTTGTTAATCTATTTGAGATTAGAGTAAATATACATCATTGCATGAAGTAACCATATTGGTCTTGATGTTACAGGAGTTCAATATTTCCTTACATTGCTGTGACTTGATCTTGTGGATCCATCGACTACAAACAATTTCCTTAATGGAAAGTTGAGGGAGGAAGCAAGGTTCTCGATTTTCTCCCTGAGTTGACCATCTGGAAGCTAGTTTACCAGAATATCATGAGCACAAAGATAAAGATAAAAGTGTGATTAAAAAATGCAGAAAATACACTGATCTCCCCCTTTCAATTTACACAAACTACAATTACACCAACTTTGATTACACCCAATCCAACTTCATGATGTGTTAATTATAATTACAGCTTTAACCCAGCAGTTATTGGTCTTTTAAAAGCATTAATGCACTAAACATAGCCAGTGACTTTAATTTTTTGTTCTAGTTTTTTCAAAATTAAACACCCTTTCCCTGGGATGTCTCTTCCAAAACCAAGACAGACCGTTCCTTTGTCATGCTCTAACTCACCCCCATCCCCCCCCCCCCCACCAACTTGACCTCTCCTGATACCTCCATGTCATCCCCCCATCCCCAACAGAAAAGAGTCAAATTGTAATTAGCGCTAACCTTACAAGATTACAATCTAACTATCCCAAACTTAAAATAAGCAAATATGGTAACATGTAAATTTTTTGTAAAGTATTGTAAGATGAGAAATTCTTACAGGAGTGAACTTATTGAAGAGTGGAGCTATTAGTACTGGATAAAGAGTCATCATCACAATAGAAAGACCAAATGTAAATGCCCAAAGATAGATGGCTAAGTATGGACCTCCTTTCTGCAAAAATTAAATGACTGTTGAGATAGAAAACAAAGAGTCCATCTCTTCATCGCGGCAAATAAAATGACAGAAAGAGCATAAAACAAAATGCATTACATATAAAAAAATAACTCAAAATTAGGAACAATTATAAAATCCAAACATCAAGCTCAGTTTTCAAGCAATGATTATTTTGACTAGCAAAAGATTTTACCTGTACTATTACAATAATTGCAGCCACAATAGGTGGACCAATTATCACAGCAAGGAAAATTCCTTTAATCATGTCCCTAAAGAATAACCAAGGTGTTTGCTGCATAAAGATCATACAAATGTAAGGATACAAACATATATAAATTTTACAACAGAGACATACATCAATATCAGAAAAAGAGATGTCAATTCAATTTCAGGTGTGAAAAATGTCAATGAAATAGTAGATTGATGATTGAATTCAAAGGAAGAAAATGAACCTTATTAAAACCATGACGGGCCTCAATCACAAAAGTTGAGTACAGAGAAAAAGGCAAATCAGTTATCTGCAGAAAAGGTTGAAGTGGATTATAGATTTAATTATAATGTTGAGGATTAGATTGATGATAACTCAAAAGCACATATATCAGAAGCACCAAAAAGCTAGCATCCATGATCTGCCAAAACTAAAAAAGTAATAAAAGAGAAAACCTTATTGTGAAAAATTATGTTCAGCACAGGATATCAAAAAGAGAGAAATAAAAATAAAAAAATAAAAATCCAAGTTGATCTAGGTGAAGTTGAACATGAGGTAAAACTGGTGGTCTTTATTATGCCAAATAAAGCAAAAAGTTGCTTTATTCACTAGCAATAAAAAGTGTAAAAAACATACCTGTGACCAAACCATCATACCAGCTAAAAAGGCAAGAGTATGCAGTATTTCATTTTCTGCATTGAGACCAACTGCTGTGGCGTATTCTCCTGATTTCTGCAATCAATAGAAATTTTATAATGGCAGAGAAAAAGCTGTACTTCATAAACACCACACAAAATTCTCACCTTCCAAAACCAGGGCAATACACCAAAGTACAAAATTGTAGAGTCTGTCACTATTGTCACAAACTCATGAATAAAATGGAAGTGGCTGGACAAAGTAAAAATAAAAGTCATGTGTAAGAATACTAAAAAGACACAATAACAAATACACAATTATGAAAAAAAAAAAAAAAAATACTAGAAACATCCTTGTGCGAGAGTAAGATATAATTATCTAATGAAAGAAAACCACACGAACAAAAGAACAAACCTTTTATCAAGACTATAGGCTCTTGATTTCTCAAACTTCTCTTGGCTGATAACCCCTTCTAAAGTCTTCGGAAGTGTTGGAAGTTTGAGGGCTTTATGTTGCCGGACATCCAAGAAAGTTTCAAATATATACATTAATATCATAAACCCTGAAAATAAATCAGAAAAAAACCAGGAGCATTTAAATCCTACATTTTATTTATAAATTTTCAGGTTTAAGTAGAGGAATACAACCAAAACAGTACATGAAAACAATATAAGACCAAATTATATAAAAAAGCAAAGTCATAGAGAATAGTGGTGTAAGTGAAGGGGCTAGACCAATTAGTTGTAGGGTCCGGTGAGGCTTAACAATAGGGGCAATGGTGGAGCCAGGGGGTGGCACGGAGATGCCATGGCTACCCCCAAAATTTTTATTTTCTTTTTAAAATTATATATATAAATTTTTAAGGTTTTTTTTCTTTACAAAATATGTCCTGCCCCCCCTCTATCTTGCATCAGCCTCCGCCTCCGCCTCTGAATAGGAATGCATCAAGATTTAGGTGTCAGATTTGAGCAGCTACTCCTTGTAATATTCATTTTATTAGTTTCACGTTTGCCCGTGTATAAGCCTATGGTTTGCTATACATAGATCGATCCACATTATGCTTCATGCCTGTTTCTTCTCCCTGTTTGTATTTGTTCACTTAATTAGAACAGTTTACTATTTCAATAAAACACAGAGTTTCCACACGAAAAGAGCTGTGTCGCGAAATGAAGCACTGCCAAACATGTTCCATTAGATCTATCCAACTTGACATATGTATGGAATTGTTCACACCACCAAACACCCAATTTCATTAAGGCAAGTCAACTATGTTTTAATAAACATCGCAGTGAAGAATCAGCGCTCAAGCAACTAATAGCCCTAGCTTAAATGACCCCAAAAATATACTACATAGGCATAAACATTCATACTTTTTAATCCTAGAGTTATTTTGCAGCTATCTAAAACACATACAACCAAACAATTGCAGTTAAATAGCTGAGTATGACTGCCAATCAGTGAAGTCTGCATTCCTGAATGTCCAGCAGGGCTCGCCATAACACATCCTTGACCACCACAACATCATTCAAAACCCTACTTTGTCTTTTGTTTCTTCTTCTCAAGTTATAATGAGCTAAATAGAAAAGGAAGTACACTGTCTATTGACATTATTCTTATATCCCCAACATTGGTTAATGGTAAAACCCAAAGGGGTTACATTTTCAAAGAAAACTACATATAGAAAATAACAAAAAAACAAATGCAGGCTAGTGCAAGTAGAAGAGAGGGGAGTAGGGCTCGTTAAGTGAATAACCACAGCACTTTCAATTAACGCATAATCTGAATCCAATAAAAAGGTCAAATTACACGATGAACTCAAAAGGTGGCAAATTCATGAGAAACCCAAATCAAATTGTTAGGGAAAAGGAACTTTATTGACAATAACAAGACCCAGTAGCTGAAAGAAATGGTTTTGGGTGCGGAAATGGAGAGAGGGGGGGAAAAGGGGATAAATGAAGAAGTGGCAATAGAGAGAAGAAAAAGCTCACCGACAACGGCTTCCATGTAGGGAAACGCCATGGCTAACACAGACGCTGATGAACACAAACAACAACGAAGTAGGAGAAATCAGAAACAGGGAGAGATCATTGGGTTTTATAGACAGAGATGTTTCGTATAATGGATTAGTAATAAAGATCCCTTAGGTCCCAATGTTTGGGCGCATCTAAACATATTTGGGTCTTATGTTATCCACTTAATTATATTTTTTAGTGTATAAAATTAAGGATAAATTTTTTTAACCAAAACAATATTTTTACATTTTACAATTTTCATAAATTTAGGTTTTAATCTGTTAGGTGGCAAAAGCGATGAATACACAAGCAAAAATAATATGTGATTAAAATTGACAAAGTCGTGTCAAATCACCAATTATTATAATGTTATCCATCTCTACAAATTAATACAGATCTTCTGAAATGATAGGGATTAAAATTAATTTTTAATGTTCAATCAATGTGTTCGTCAAAGTTCAAAAAATTTATTAAATTCAACTTTTCATAGCTTTATTTAAATTAATATTGCGACATTTTTATACTTTATAAAGATAAAGATATGATTAAAATTAATGAAGACTGACAAAAATACAGAGTGAGATGAGATCTATCTCAGATTCAAAATTTCAACCCTTTGTGGGTTAAACTGTTTTCCTTCTAGCTGATGACAAATTCTAATAAGGAGTTAATTTAATTATAGTAACAATATAAAATATCATAATATAAATGGTAATTTTTTTAATTGTAAAATAATTATTTAAAATGTTATATCTGAGATGATTTCTAATTAATACAAAATTCTGACATGTATTCTTGTCAAAAAGAGCGGTGAAGTGAACCAAATAATGAGGAAATAAATGAAATCCATTAGAATGCAGCATCTGCATGGACATGCAGGCTCATACAAAAAGAATCAGTAACATATTAACATTACATCTGAATGAAACAAGGAATACAACACAGTCTCTTCTGGTCCCAACCTTACTTTAATCCTATGGTTTTGCATCAAAACTATGTCACTTCCTTCCTCTTCCTCCCCTTTTTGAATCAAAATGGTGAGACTTGAGCTTCTTTTTCCGAGCAGCTGCGGCAGAACCACTTCCCTCTCTGAAGGGCATACCCATAAGCGCCAATAATCTTTGAGCTTCTTGATCTGTATTAGCAGTGGTGGCTATGCAGATGTCCATTCCCCTAGGCTTGCCAATCACATCAGCTCTGATCTCTGGGAACACACCCTGGTCCTTAATGCCAATGCTGTAATTCCCATGACCATCAAAGCTATTGGGATTCACACCTTGGAAATCTCTTGTCCTCGGAAGCCCCAAGTTGATCACTCGGTCCAGGAACGAGTACATAATCTGTCAAAAATCAAACACTTTTCATATTTCAAATAGGTTATTTTTTATTTAACTTTGATATTAGTTTACTAATCAGAATTAGAATTCAATGATCAATACGTTCAGAAAGATATCAAATTCGCATGAGTTTTTAAGATATTTGAAATGTAAATTTTGGGTTGTAATGCACTCTTAGAATCTTAAAAAGGAGACATTGAAATTCCCACTGTATAAGCAAGTTGGGTACAGTAAAATGGCTGAGAAGCATTTTGACAATTTTCAATTATATGTGGCTCACGGTGAGGTTGGTGGACATTAATAGAAGAAATATGCGTCCTGTTGAACGTCCTGTTGAACATTCAAGGACTTGATGTTGCAAATAATGATCATGAAGAATGTTGATTTTGATGATGATCCAAGAGCTTAAAGACTTAGAGTATTGAAGATTGATGATTTCTGTATTGTAATAACTCTGTTTTAGTTTGATTGAGTCTGTAATTATAGAATCTAAGATAGCCGGTACATAGTCTGTAACTTAGAAGCTTCAAAATGCTCAAATTTATCATGCAGGCTCGGCTTTAATCGATTATATAGGTAAATAATCGATTAAAACAGTGAGAAAACCACTTACTATACAAAGTCACTGTTTTAATCGATTAAACAGCAAAATAATCGATTATTTTGTACTTGTTCAGTACGAGATAATCGATTATTTCACCAAATAATCGATTAATCCGGAGAGGTTTGGGTTACTGTCGTATTTGGCTCTGTTTTAATCGATTATCACTCCAAATAATCGATTATTTCGATCTGTTTTTCATTTTAAATTTCAAATTAACCCTATTTTCGAAAACCCAATTACCAAGAACCCTAGTTTCGAAATCCCCAATTCCTAAACCCTAATTTCCCTACTTAAACTCTCCTTTGGCACTCGAGAAAATTAGAACAACTCTTTCCATACAAAAGTTAAGTGCTTGTGAGTGTCGAGAACTGTTTGTTGCAAGGAAAGGGGGCTTTTGGAACTCGGTGTGGGCTAGAAGCGATAAGAATCACTAAGTGGAGTTCTTAGTGGATTGTGTGTTGTGTCGTCTCTGGGGAAAGCTGTTCTTCATCTCTTGTGGATTTCAAGAGAGGTGTTGTCTTTACTTTATCTCTTTGATTTGTAAACTGTTTGTAACAATTTGTTCTTAGTGACAGCGTTAATCCTCTTTTGAGTGATTAGCAACTGGACGTAGGGTCTTTTGATCCGAACCAGTATAAACCTACTGTGTAATCTTCTCTACTCTTCTCTATTTACATTTACGCAGTTTTTAATCGGTAAAATTTGGGGAAAATTTTGAAAACCTAATTTTTATTAAGAAACCAATTCACCCCCCCTCTTGGTTTTTGTCCGACCACGCGAACATTCCGCTGCGCGATTCTAACACGTCCATGGTTGAAGGTGTGAAGCTAACCTCACTGGGATGGAGTGTCAACGTTAAAATCTGATAAGCAAAATTGATCACAACTCCATGAACTAGAAGATTGAACACAAATTATCAGTGTGATGATGTCATGTTAGGATGGAATGAAAGGGAAAGGAAGGCTTGGACAGGTTTCTTCATGAATCTGGATATTGAAGTTGTTCTGAGCAGTTCTTGAATGAATCTTGGTTTGGCGGTTACAAAGAATGATGGTGGTGTGAAAGAAAGAAACTAAAGGAAGGAGGAGATGGATGATGACTTAAGGATAGGTAAAATTTCTTTTAACTAACGAATTCTATGGACACAAGTCCAGAATATCATAGAAGAATATTACGTAGAGAATATAGCCAATTTGCAAAATGAAAGCTTTTCAAACATTTGCTTTAGTTAGTTGGTCACTAATCAGAATACTACTATTCAGAACAGCTATTAACTTCCCAGATCAAACCAATATTCCCTAATAAGTAAATGAAATTCTTTCATATTCATATGATCCCTTATTGAACTATATTTCAATTCCCAACTTTCATTCAATTCATATTTCTCTTTCACAGTCGTATAAATTCCAATGGATCTTTTATCCAATATCAGCACCAGTCAAAATTCCTCATACCACAGACATTTAGTTGTATGGCAGAGAAATTGTACATCTATGCATCAGCAGTGTATCAAGCTCAGTCCCAGAAGTCAATAACATCACGGTACTCCAATTGATCTAAATATCATCTACACTACCAAAACATCTAGAGTTGTGATAGAAAAAGTGTAAACAAATTCATTAAATCATCACATGCCAATCAACTATATTCATTAGACAATATAGATAGAATGCTACAACATGCTCACATTTCCTCTTAGTGTTACAGCAATCCCAAGCGGTTGACCTTCCCTGATCTTAAAGGTGGCAAGAGAAGCCCTAGCCCGAGTCTTAATAGGTCTCTGCCCTGTGATCATTGCTAGATCACTTACTGCAGAGTCCAAACCCTTCGAATTTTGTGCAGCGTCTCCAATACCACAGTTAACCACAATCTTCTCAACTTTAGGCACCTGAAATGAAGATAAAATCCAACATTGCAAAAATTGAAGGAATATCAAATGATTGTGCCTCCTTTTCATCTTCCACACTTCATTACATAGAAACTTATGGTATATTAGGAGGGAAAATATAAAAGAAAGAAATAACAGATAAAGACACGTTTTCTTACATCTGGTTAAGGAAAAAAAAAAAAAACTTTCAGAAACAAAAATTCAATTTTTTCTTCCCCTTTCATTTTATCTTCAATTCAAAATCAACCTTGCTCTCCTCCCTAGTCTTTCTTTCCATGCCAAACACACCATTACTCTCCCTTCCCCCTAATCAACCCCCAAAGATAACTGAAATTTCACCGTGAAATCTCATGAAACCAAAACAACTTATCACACCTCACCTTAATTTCCCCAGTGAGTGACACCAAACTTGCAAAACCCCACCATCCCAAAACCATAAAAAAAAAAAAAAATATATATATATATATATATATATATATATATATATATTCACAGTAACACCCCCCAATAAATCCAAAGCAGCTTAGCACAGCCCATCACATTTGTCCCACCACATGATACCAAACCCGCAGAACCCCATCAACACAAAACAAAAAAAGATTCAAAATTCCATTGTCAAACAATCTTAAATAAACACATTAAGCAAAGGTAACAAAACTTCGCAAAACCTGGTGCTTGTTGGTGTAAGAGAACTCTTCTATGAGCAAGGGCACAATTTTTTCAGTGTAAGCAGTTTTGAGCCTATTGGCCTTCTCTGCATCAGACTTCTCCACCAACACAACCGCAGAATCAGTGGCCCTCACAGTCAGCACCGCATTCCCATGTCTGTTTCCATGAGGAAACGCTGAAGAAGAAGAAAAATATGGAAAGGCACGAAATTGAGCGAAAAATGAGGACCCAGATGAGTGTAGAAGAGAAGGAGCGGTGGCCATAGTGGTTATTCAGTGCTCACACTCTAAGCTGATTATGGATAGATAGCGTTGAAGGGGTTTAGGGGGAAGTGTTGAAAAGTGCCCTTTGGGTTGAATCCTTTCTACGAAGATCAACAATGTGGGATGAAAGAAAAATGTAGGCCAACCAAGGGTATAGAAGGAAAGTTGTGTGAGTGTAAGGTGTGGGAGCAAAATACAAGAAGCTAAGAATGGATAAGGGGTGGAAAACCAAACAGTGAATACCCCATTTACCATTTTTGAGAAAAAAAAAATGAAAAAAATATTTTTGTGTTTGAAAAACAGTGTATTGTTTTGGTTACCTTAAATATTTTTTAGGTAAATTCATCTCTTAGAAAATAAAATTATTAACAAAGATACAGTTTTTAATGATAGGTTTTTCTATGAAAAGTTTTAATGTTAGGTGAACCCTCAAGTATTTGTTTCTGTCATATTTTCATTGTTATTCATTTTGTAACAGATACATCAATTTATTTTACTTTTTAAGAAAATAGAGTAAAATGTATAAATTATAAACTGCATCAATACAAATCCAAAGAAAATAAGCACCAAATGATTGATTGTAGGTATAATAGGCAAATACAAATTTGTCTATATCCATATTACTTAATTTTGAGAAAGAAAAAACTTGTACGGAGTGGTTTTGAACTTTTATTGTTCATTAATGAAATTGAGTTTTGTTTTTCTTTTAAAAATCAACACAATTTATTCTATGTTTAAATTGACATCAATAATAGAAATATATTTTTGAATATAGTTAAAGAAAATGAATTATTTATTATAATATAATATCGTTTAGAGATGTCAATATTGCAAATTAAATTTAATAAAAGAATTTAAATATCAATATTGAAATTTCCAAGTTTAAACATGACCTAGGTTTACTTCTTCTTATGTATTGTTTGCTTTCAACAAAATAAAAGCAAAGACCTTCCTTAAGCAAATACTTTTGGAAACCTTTCAAGTTATTGTCATATTTGTCTAAGAGTGTTAAATAAATTTGAAATTAAACTTATTCACAACCATAATCCATCGCAATACTAGACATGTTTTTTTTTTCTTCGGAAGATTAAGTTTTATAATAAATTTTGGGAAATGATTATCTTAATTCACAAGTAATTATAATTATACATTTTAAATATTTATTCCAACTCAATCATCAAAACTATAACTTAAAACAATTTTTATTTTGTTAATTTGGAACTACAGTTAGGGTTTTAATTAGAATTCTCATTTCATATTTTGGTGATAAAAAGTATAAGAGAAGAAAAAACACATCATGAATTAAAGTTTCTTATTCACAACAACTAAAATATTTAAAAAGAAACATTTTATTAAAAGAATGTTTAAAGTATATATTATAAATTTTTTATATATTAAAAATAACAAATAAAACATTAGTTATCTCTGTTTTTTCTAAAAGAAAAAAATACATTCATACAAATCATCCACTAAAAAGTATAAAAATATGGGATTTCCAATCTAAACAATTAAATTAAAATTTATTGTGGATATGTGATAATGATAAAAAATTCCTTTATATACTATACATATAATTATTAAAAAGTAGTAAGAATTAAATAAGGTTTTTGAAAGAGAGATGAATACACTAATTATAATTGTTGCTGATTATTTTATCATCGTGAAAAAAATAAAAAAAATAAATAAGAAAAGCATTCCTATCGCATTGCTTGGCGAGGATAATTATAACACCGTAATAGTAACGATTTTCTCTCTCTCACTTCAAATCCCTTCCGCTTTCGCTCACTCCCTCTTCCTCCTTTGCGATCCATCACTGCCAAATCTCATCGAGATTTCGATTCCACGCCCTTTCGGTGATCGTTTTTCTCTATAACCCTCGATCCACGCAGGTCCTCTGTAAAAATCCAAAACCCTAGTTTTTCCTTTTCATTTCATTTCTTACTTTCATGGCGGAGCTTTAGATTAGGCACAAACCTTTCAATGATTATGGTCCCTTTCGTTTTCCGTCGGAGCCAATTTTCATGGGTATTCCACAAATTTTGAATTGAATTTCTTTTACCCATGAATCTGCGTTATGATTTTTGGGCGATGAAGTGTATATATATGTCTGGCGAATTTAATTGAAGAGGAGTGTGGTTTTCATCTTGCTAGGTGATGGGTATTGCGAATTTTTTACAAAGGAGGAAGCTTGGGAGGGTTTTGGATAGTGGGTCTTGTTGATTGAGTTGGATCAATGACTGGAATTTTGCCTGTGTATATTGTTCTGGGTTCTTTTGTTTTCTTGGTTTTGAAGATTTCCCCATCATAGATTGTATAGGTGGGTAATGGATAAGCAGGAATTGACCTCTTTCTTATAGTAGGACAATAGTATCTGTGGGTTTTCTTTACCGTGTTTGGTATTGGGAGCAAAAGAGTTTTTGGTTATAGTTCTCATAACGGTGAGCTTGCGTTATGAATTGTGTTAGTGATGATGACTATTGACTAGTGCTCTTTGTGGTTGATACTTTGCATTGTAAATTGGCTGGAAATATTAGGCTGTTTTCATCAATTTTGTGGAGAGGAATTAGGTGGAGCGAACAAAATGAGCTTTGAAAATGAAGATCAGAGCTTGTTGGATCAGGCAACTGATCAAGGATTGCAAAAGTAACCTTTCTTCTTAGATAATCTTTTTACCTGTTACACATTTTCTCCATCAAAATCAAAATAAGATGTGCGTTGTAACACCTATCTGTTGGTGGTGATTCAGGAAGTTAAAAATTTCTTACACTAGGGAATTTTTGTTATCGCTAAGTGAATTGGATATATGCCGACAGTTGCCTAGCGGGTTTGATCAATCGCTTTTAAGGTAAAGTTTGTTATGCTGCATCATCTGTTTCTCCTGGTATGATGGCCGCAAGTCAATACACTTGTTCAGGAATGGTGCATTTTTCTTTTTAATTATTCTGTTATGCCTTGGTTTTGTTGGTGACCTGTGTCCTTTATTTATTTGAAAAACAGTGAATTTGAAGATGCTTCTCAAGATAGGCAGAGAATTTCAGGCGGTTTGTCAATGCATAGCTTTAGACGTAATGAATATGGTTCATCTCCTCCAACCAGAGGGGATAGCTTTCCGCGGGGAATCCATGGAAAATGGGAGACTCGAACTTCTGCTCGGTCCGATAAAGAGAGTGATTCTCAATCTGAATGGGATTCAGGTTTTCACACTTGATCAGCAAGAATATTCATGTTTTTTTAATGGAACAATCCTTAAATATGTACAAATATCTACTGTTAGACTGATATGACATTCTTCCCTATATCTGCTACTTATTGATTGGTGTTGAAGTAGAAGTTTCTGTAAAAAGGTTCTTTTGATCTATTTCATTATGTGTTTATTTTGCAGATTCTTCAAAACGTTTTGGCAACCAGTCTCGGAGATCTTGGCAAGGTCCTGAGCATGATGGGCTTCTAGGTAGTGGCTCTTTTCCTCGGCCCTCTGGGTATACCCCTGGGTTGTCTGCTCCAAAACTTCGAGCTAATGACAACTACCAGCTAAATCGGTCTAATGAGCCATATCATCCTCCACGCCCTTACAAGGTTAGTTAAAGTTGTTATATCTCAGACACTTGTATGCTAGCTACATTGGAATATTGATTACTTCCATGTCCTAACTGGGAAGTATGATAACACTTTTTGTGGCAATGCCATGGATAATATTGGAATCATATTTAATTTTATTAAATTCAATGCCTGGTATTGTTTTTGCTTTGGATGCTTTTCAGGCACCTCACTCACGTCGGGAGACTAATGACTCTTATAATGATGAAACATTTGGTTCTTTGGAGTGTACAAGTGAAGACAGGGCTGAAGAGGAAAGAAAAAGAAGAGGTAACTGTTCTTTTCTTGAAGATATTGTGCTCTGCAGTATATTTCTCATTATTTATGGCTTTAGAAGTTCTGTTTACCTTTTTGTAATTATGGTCATGTTAAGTTCATGTTTAGTGAATTATTTGTTAAATGGATGACAACTTTTTTGCCAGCTTCTTTTGAATTGATGAGAAAGGAACAACATAAAGCTTTCCAAGACAAGCATAAGTTGAACCCGGACAAGAATAACAATGATTTTGACATAACATCACTTGTTGAAGACGATGAGAAAAAGCCAGTTAATAGGAGCAATGAGTCTGTGGAGCCTCACGTGACACTAACAGCTTTAAGCAATGATGAGAAATCGTCTTCCCTATCACAGACTCCTTCATCAGCTAGACCACTTGTACCCCCTGGTTTTGCAAGTACAAAATTGGAACGTAATTTGGCAACCAAAACATCCCTTAGTACTCATTCAACAGAGGTAACTAGTTAACATTTTTTATTCTTATTTTACTTATTGTCTTTGGTAGCCTAGTTATTCTTAGAAGTTGTAATTTCTCAAATGTTAAGCGAAAAGATTAGTTTCTTGATTTATTGAATTAGGCATTCAACTTGATTTCAACTGTTCTACTGGCCTAAAACTGTTAGATATCACAAAGGACTTTATTATTTCAAAGTGATGGAGAGAGTGTGGTTATAAAAATGTCCTGACTGTCTGAAGAGTGACCTTTGTCGTATAAACTTAAGTAGTTTGAAAGTGAATGATCGTTTATTCAAGATGCTAGTTTCTCCCATGCTGGGACTTTCAAGACACCAAATCTTAGATGCTGTCATCACAGCCAATTTTGATTTTGATGTTACCTAGTTTGAATGTCGGTTTTCATGTCTAATTATAAGTTAATATACAAAATACTTTAGAGATTTTGAGGTTTTTCTAGAGCAACCTCCAATCAAGGATGAGTGCATGGTACTGGCCTAGAATTTGACTGTGTCCCTGATAACATTGTATCAGAGGATACTAGATTGTGGAATACTGTTTAAAACAACATTCTGGTGAAATGTTTAATCTACAAGTACCAAACTCCATTGTCTACATCCAAAATTTGTATAACCAGTTTCTACCTTAATTGATTTGGATTTTGCCTCTTCTTTTCCTATTGGACGCTAAATCAATATGAAGGATATTGTTGGATTTTGCCGTAATATTTCTCACTTGTTAACTTTCCTCAAATACTGAAAGCCTAGAACATAAGAACTCAGTTTAACATGAAAAGAAAAGTTACATTCTCCCCAGATTTTTACTTAGTTAACCTTTAAAACATGACATGTGGACACTAGATGTAGTTCTTTTACTTGTGATGTCACTTTAACACCAACAGATGAAGTGTGCTTTATTATAATATGTACTATTATTCTTGGCTCTTTTCTAATACATTCTTTCTTGTCGTGATGCATAGGCTGGACAACCTGCGCCAGGTGATACTGGAGGTAACCTATTCAGTATAAATTGTGACGATAAAAAAGGAAAATTATTAACCTAGCAACTGGATGATGATCAACTGAATCTTCAAAATACAAATCTAAATATTTCAATTAACCATGTGAAAGATAACATTTTAAATTTATTATTAGTTTTGGATATTCCTGACATTAAAATTGGCTGATCAATTGAGGGAGATCTGCTCTTTCAGAAGTCTTGGAAGCATCTCAACTTAATGCTGAAGGAAAAGGAAAGGAGGCAATTGGAACTTTCAATCCAGACAATTCAAACTCTATCCTATATAAGCTTTTCGGTAATGCTTCAGCAGTAGATGGTGACAAATCTACTAGTATTATTGAGGTAATTGTGGAACTTTCTGAAATTTCCCTTTAGTAATGTCAAGAACGTATTAAATGAAGTTATCATCTTCATTCAACTATGTCTTGTGCCTTGGGGTTATAAAAAATTGATAAACCACAACTACTGGATATTTGTGAAAAAGAGATACTAACCTTCTTGGCTCGAAATATTGTGATTTGGACCAGTGTTTTGGTTTCTGCTTCTACTCTACAACGTTACTAGGAGTTTGATTAATTATGCTCTTGCTCTTATAGCAGCCTGATCATAAAGCAGATGTGACATGGAGTCAACATGCGTTCCAATCGTCCAAGTTTGCTCATTGGTTTGTTGAAGATGGTATGCTTATATAAAATAATTCTTTATTGGTTTCAATGTTAATAACCTTCTTTTATTTGTGAGTTGATTTAAACTTATTTTGTTAATTCCATGCCCACCTTACTGTAGAAAAAAATCCAGTGGATGACATGACAAATAGGCCAAATGATTTGCTCTCTCTTATTGTTGGTGGTGAAAAGGGGGGTTTGCAGACTTCTAATATAGAAACAACTGAGCATATTGGATCCAATTTTTCTTTCCTAAATTCTGAACCAATTAGTGAGCATATGGCATCAAATGCAGCACATAACATTATTAATAACTCGGGGGTATTTTCCAAGAGTGATAAACCTGAGGTTTCACCAGCAGTTCTTACATGTGAAGATCTGGAACAGTCAATTTTGTCACAAGTTAGCGAAAATGGATCATCCCGGAAGCAGCCCATTCAGGACGAAGATCTTGATGCAAAAACTGAGCAGTCTACTTCAATTGATAATCATGCATCCCAACACCTCCTTTCTTTGTTACAGAAAGGAACCTCCTACAATGATACGGAATTATCATCTATTCTAGATTCTACAAACAAGGTGCCTAATATTGATGGAGTCACTACCAACAATGATCTTGATAATCCTAGAGAAGAAAATGCTGACGTTTCCAATTCATCGAAGACATTGACACTGGAAACACTTTTTGGGTCGGCTTTTATGAAGGAGCTTCAATCCGTTGGAGCACCCCTTTCTGTTCAAAGGGGTTCAGTTGGATCTGCAGGGGCTGATGTTTCAGAGTCTCTTCTGTTTCCTTTCCCTACCTCTGACAATGTTCACCCTGCCACTGGTGAACATATCCTGAACAGGCATGGAAGTGGTGTCCTGCCTCTAGAACAAACAAATCAACCCAAAACTAATAGATTTGATGAGCAGTGGTTAGGCTTTTCTGATTCCCAGGGAGATGTTAATTCATCATTGCTTCATAGTGAGCTTTCCAAAGCTGGTTTCAAAGGACCGCTTGATATTCACCTTCCAGAAGAAGATAACTTGATTACAGTTAGTGATCCTCTGCAAAACTTTTTATCTGCTGGAAATATAGTTAAAACAGATATGTCCCAAGACACAACAGTCGACATTACCAGAAAACTGGCAGCTCTGAATCCTGCATTTAGGGATGACCGATTTGTTACGAGAAATCATGAAGGCCCAGCATACCCTCATGGTGGTCCTTATGATATGAGAGAACCTGGTATTCCATTTCAGAATCTTAATGTCCAACGATCTCAACAGATCCACCCTCAGTTGAATCATGGTGGCCCAATGAATCATGGTGGATCTCAACAGATCCACCCCCAGTTGAATCAACTGGATATTCATTCTCCTCATATTAGTTCTTATATGAAGCTTCCAAATCCTGAGGGCATGATTCGTCACAACTCACCACCAAATCATCAATTTCCAGGAAATATGCTTCGTCCTCCTTTCCATCAACCAAACAGTGGACTAGCAGGGTTTGATCCTCCTGTTCATCATTCCATGTTACAACAGATGCACATGCAAGGAAACCTTCCCCCACCTCATCTATTACGTGGATTCCCAAGGGGTGCACCTATGCCACCTCATCCCAGCAATCCAATGACTGGCTTCATGCAGGAACCAAACCCAGTGCAAGGCCAAGGCTTCCCATTTAGTGGTCACCAGCATCCTACTTTTGGTGGCCCTGGAATACAATTACAAGGTAAATTATTTTATGTACATCACCATTGTATTTGCCGTTGTATGATTATTGTGATTAACTTGAATGCATAAAAAATGCACAATTATACTCACTATTATACATTTCGATGATCACAGTTTATTTCATAATAGTTTCTTTCTGCTTGCACATGTTTCATTCAGCTTGATGGCTAGCTGTTGTAAGAGCAAGTCTGTTTAATCACTCTTGTATGTGACTTTGCCATGCGCATGCCAGTGAAAACATTGTACATATACATGCATGCATCCACTTAAGTGTGTGGACACGAGACACAATCCATGTAATCAGATACATTTCCACGTTCATATAAACACTCATCCACCGGTTCATATTATTGTTTTTGCTTTGTTCTGGTTTACACAGTTGCTTCTGTGTCGTGAACAAAATAACAATATTCGAAGCCATGTATGCTATGTTTGGAGTGTTGGTGTTAATGTCAGCCTGATTATGTTTCCACGTTCACACTCAAAACAGTATGCTCTTGCTTTTTTTTTTTCATGGTGATACCACAATTTTTGGATGCTTACAACCAAGCCAAACACACTTTGGGTGGAAGATATCATGCCTGATAGTGATTATTGTTTTCTTGTTTTGCAACTGCTTTTGGATCACATGACAAATTTTAATCCATATATTTTAGTCTCTTGATCTATTTTCAATTTCTGATATATTTTTTGGGTATTTCATTAGCTCCTGATGTTGGTGGTGGAAGAAATCATCCAGAAGCACTTCAGAGGCTTTTTGAGATGGAGCTCAGGTCAAACCCAAAGTCAATCCATGCTTCAGGTCACAGTCAGGGGATGTATGGTCAAGAGCTAGACTTGGGTTTTGGGTATAGATAGTGTACTGTCCTTGTTGATGTGTATACTAGATTGTATTCACCTAATGTTGTGCTGATCCATACCTCCTGCATGGAAATTGGGTTTCATTTGATGCTTTTCTTTGCAAAAATTAGCTATTCTGTAATTAATGATTTTTCATCAATTTGCATTTTGCGCGGATATCAATTTGTTGCCTTTCTTTTGTTAACATAATCAAAGTGCTTCCAGCATGGGTTTTGGAACAAAGACTAATGCTGTGTGCAGGAGGAGGAAGGTGATTTCATGTTTTGGGGATAACATAAGCACGCCTGGAAGGAAAATTGTTCTTCAGTGTCTGGTTGTTTTTTGTGGCATGAAGATGTTTGTTACCACTCCATTTATATTTAGCTTAATGGTGCGATTAGTTCATGATAAATAAATAGTTAATGATGTATTTTCTTTTTTATTTATCCAAGAAAAAATTAATAGAAAAGAAAAAGTTTATTAGAAAACAGTTTATAATTCATTCCTTGGACTTTCTCTTCCTTCAACTTCCTTTCCTCTAAAGCTGAAAAGACGTAAATGTTTCTTCACATTCGTACCAAATGACACGTTGGGTTCCTTTTATTTATATATAATTTAATTTTGGTTTATAATTTTTTATTATCTTTTTTATTTTTAAAAAATTCCTCTAGAAAACAAATTCCAAACAGATCTAAAACATTTTTGAAATAAAGAATATTAAGTACTTTATTTAAAAATTTTCTTAATCCAATAAAATAATTTCAATTTAAACAGTGGATATTATTAAAATTTAAAATTCTCCTTCAAAATACCATTTTATTAAAAATGTGTAATATTTTTTAATCTCTTAGAACTAATTTACATGCGGCCGTCCAATCCTCTGTCAGTAATGTGAAAGGAAGAAAAAAACATCAACTCTGACATCTGATGCATATTTTTAAAAGCATAAACTTAACTTTAGTTTTGTTGAAAGAAAATAAAAAAAGAACTGTTGTTATGTACGAATATGAAGCTTCCAGAATCCACATATGTTATTATGCATGATTTTAAATTGCTGTTGATAATGGTTTTACAATGGCAACATTACTGTTCTGGAATTTCACTTCAGCAAGTGATTTTCAATCACCAAAATTGTGGCAAAAAAGCTATAAGGCATTATTTTATTATAGACCAATACATATAAATGGTTTAAAAATTAGTCAATTATTTATAGAAATAATTTTCATGACATTTTAAACAACTTTCTTTTAGATAATAAATTTATAATAAAATAATCTACTTTTATTCTTACACAACTATTCTTGACCACTCCAATTATCAACTCTTTAAATTATTACCTCAATGCTATTCATTTCTTTCTTTCAGCGTTCTATTATAATTTTGAAGTGATAATGATTGAATAAATGTGATTGTGTGAGATAATTGTAATATTATCAATTTTTACTTTCGGTGCAGACATGACATCACAACAACCGCAACTTAGAACCATACTGGTGTTTATTAGTTTATATACAACATAGGCAGCACTTGTCTTATATACTAATTTGTGTAAACAACGCATTACATGACACACACAAGCTCTCAATATTCTGTACAGTGCAGCCTTGAAAGGTTACCTCAACAGGACTTTTCATTACCCTGCATTCCTAGGACAACCATCTTTATAAGATGCACGCAAACAAACCTAAATGACAGTAAATTGCATGCATGTCCACATGCAACTATCTGCATCCTACAACTGTTAGTAAAACCTGTAATCCTTGCTCCTCTTGTGCCCAATATTTCACCATTTGGAGTTATACCGGCATCTGAGACGGAAGCTTATTGTGTTCTAAGAAAATATTTAAACTCTGTCTCCATGAAAAACCACCTTAAGCAGATAAGATAGCACTCTTTGATCTGTCAGTGAAGGATTGGCTGTGACGATTACTGGATTTTGTCCTCTCCGAGCTTGCATTATACATTGACAGCATCTTTCTCTGCATTAATTCCAAATGCATGGCGAAGAGTGAATCATTGAGTGTATATTATGCTGTCATATTATGGTCGACTCTCTTACTCGGTTGAATGTTTCTTTCTCACCTATGATTAGCCCTTATATGAAAGGGGATCCATTCATTATAACTATAAGAATATGAATCATAGACTTATTTTTTATCCTAACTATTCCTTTTTTTTTTTTTATTTAACAGTTGAGATGAGTCACTATTTTAGACCATTAGATTATAAAGAAATCAATGATCAAAATGGAAAAATAAGATTTTTAACTCTTACTCTTGGAATAATAGGATCTTTCTCTCTCTATATCTAATATAATATTGAAGTACAAAACTTAGATCTAGTTCACAAGTCTTGGTAGTTGTTCTTCAATTAAAATTGAAATTTCACCTCAGCAATCACTAATATGAACTAAAAGATGATGTGAAACTCTAATTCTGATAACAAAACTTGAAGAATTGTTTCTAAGTTTCTCATTCTTTATCTAATTAAGTCTCTTCTCACTGACTAGTTTTGGCTACTACTACTCTTTATTCTATCCTTCCACCCTATCTCAGAACATGGGAATAAAATGAGAGGAAGAAAACTATTCAAGGAAAATGCTATGGGATGCCCTTAGGACGCTAGTTGTGGAGAAGGGAAATAATTATTTCGAAAGTGAAAAAATCATTTAAACATATTTTTTAGTAATTAAAAGTATTTAATATAGCTTATTAAATACTTTTTCAAGTAAGATATTATTAGACACAAAGTACATCTTGCTTATTTTATCATTATCAGCCTAAAACTATGTTGCATTGTTGACATTCACCATAAATACTATAGTCAAATGTAAACAACATAATTGAACTGTTTTTGTTTTAAGCAAAGAAAAGCATCAATATAAAAGAAAAGATCAATTTTAAATCGTAAGCGCTACCAAAGCAAGTGTCAGAGAAAACGTTCCTGTCCCAGACCTAAACCTTACATTCTGAAGTTTCCAGCATCAAAACAACTATAGTGCAAAATCAGTATTTTGATTACATTAACATAGTCATACAGTTGAAAATATCATCTCACGACAAGCATCATAGTATCTAATAAATTAAGTAGAAAATCAACAGATCAAAAAGGCATCCCAATAGATTCATCTGTTAAAAAAGTAATAGACTCACGACAAAATACCAGTATGTTAGGTAGAAACTTACTTCATTCTCAAACTCAGGACTCCTTAAATTGGAGGAGAGGTTTCTCATCAACAGCAATACCTGCAAAAGAAAAAAACACCATATAAATCTCCTATATAGTGGAGCTTCTTGGGAGATGAAGGAGTTCATGTCCCCAAAGTTTTATAACATATATATATATATATATATATATATACTTTTATGATTTTAGTTTCCTACCAAACTTAATGATCATTAAATATATTTACATATATATTTACAATTTTAGTCTCTCACATTTTCATATTCATTTATTATTTATTAATAGTATATTATTTAGCCCTCAAAATCATTGGTCATTGACCAATTAATTTAAGCAGGAAATGTTGGATACTAACTCACCAAGACACCATAAGAAATCAGGGAAAGAAATAAATAAAAGAAAATGATATGGAGCCGAAGAAAATACAGGACTAGCGATCACTTACGGTTTTCACTTTTATTGGGTCCATCTGTTGCAGTGTTTGTAAATGATTAGTCGCATTTGGATCAAACACACTTCCGATGAAGCTATATACTTGAGCAAAATCTGGCATTTCTGTTTAATAGGCCAGGGGAATTTATCAAACGAAGTATGAAAAAAATCATGAGCATAACCCTTAACAGAGTATCAACAGTGGAAACACCAGGCATGTTGCATGCCACACACATCATTATGAACTTAATAGTCCTCTAGTAGTGAATATAATAACTACTACAGTATTGATGTTTGCAAGATTGACATCACATATTAGAATGTGCTGCTTACCCAGCATGCAGTTAACTAAGAATGGACTATGCAGCATTGATTACTCTCTTTCTTTTTTGTATGGTTTGTAGGTGTTGCATTAAATACCTTTTGCTCATTAAATACATAAAATGCATGAGCTGGATTTTGATTTCTGAGTACCGTGTTCCAACTTCTTTCCAGTCAACCCTAAACCAACTCTTACTTGAGTACTTTAATTAACGTGAACTGAGGCACTGGCGTTAAAATTTTACCTTGTTGTCTCCAGCCCCCTATCCAAGTGGTTTTTTTATGATCTTCTATTTAGTTTCTTTCTAGATCCTTCTGCATGGTTCTTCCAATATTGGAAACTTGAAAGATACTTTATCTTAACTTTCTTTTACTAACTTGAAGTGAAAACTTCAACAAGCAACACCATGGATTCCCAATGTCTATTTCCTATAAACTCTTGTTGCTTAAATTCGTTTAATTGAAGTACAACCCCCAACCAATCTGATTATTAGAAATGTCAGGAGAAAACAAACAAAAAGAGACAAGGTACAAGGAGGTTTAGAAAAAATGAATATATGGAATTAAAATAAAAACTTCTAAAAAAAAGATTAAATAAGTTTCTCCATAAGCTAAATTATTTTAGCTTATACACAAATTAATTTGTAAAAATTATCATGTTAGCTTATCTAAAAAATGATGTTCAACTTATATATAAACTAATTCTAGTTGATAAAGAATTTTATTTTATTTTCTTCTTCTAAAAAAGCAATCCAAACATACCTATATATACTCATAAAAGTTTGTCACCAATCCAAATAAATATCAGGTCAGGTGTTCACTATTCACATCTTTCAGTCAATTTTAGGTTGTATCAGATTAAGATTTGAGTAAAAAAAGCATTCCTACCTATAATTGGCTGGCGGTGGTCACCCTGCTGATCTGTCTGTTTGCTACTTGGCCAAGCCCTGGGAGTGCTCTCGTTACTACTGCTGTGGCAGTAATTGAAGGGATTGACTTGTTTACTCAACACCATATCATCTAACCATAAAAATGAAAATTCATGTTAGAAATTTGCACGCATCTATAATTGTCATAGAATAAATAAAACAAGGTATATACATAATTTACGATTTAAAAAAAATGGAGTTCAGGCTAAAGAAAACCTTTAGTCACTTGAGGAAGACCAACTGGTGGTGTAACATTATAACCCCAAGATGGCAATGGCACACTGCTAACTGTAGTTCTAAGCACAGATGATGAGTCCGGCCTATAAATGTATGATGATTCAGACAAAGCAGATGAAGATTGCAAAGGCCTCGTAACTTTGGATAAAGTAAGAGCTGATAAAATGCAAACAGTAATAGAGTTATTCATGAATTGATTATGACCCTGTTTGGATATACTTCTCAACAAGCACTAATAGGAGAAGAAAATAAAAATATGAAATAAATTGAACTTCTTTCATAAGTTAAAAATTAACTTATGTACTTCAACTTTTATAGAAACTCCCTTGTTTAACTTCTTCAAAAAGTTAATTTTAACTTATGGGAGAAACTTAATTCATTCTACTTTTTTTTTTTCCTTCTAAAAGTATTTATTGACATTTTATCCAAACAAGACCTAAGGTCACATATACTTGAAATGAAGTTAGTCACACTAACCATTTTTAGAAGCCTTTTGTGGGTATGGATGAGCAGCTTTTCTTTTCGGACGAGGGGGAGGTACATGTTCACTTGTTCCATTCTTCTGAACTTTCATGAAATACTTCTGTGCATGACTCCTTATCTGCCAAGAAGAAGAGAAGCACACAATCAATTCAGAAGTCTTGAAAATTTGAATAAGTGTAAATGCTTGAGTGCACTCTCAACAATCAGCAGCAGTAGCATATATAAATAGATGGCAAAAAGAGTGCAAGAGAAGATTCAGATGTCAAGTTCGGACTAGGATAACCTGTTCCTATATAGGCTTTTCAGAATACATCAAAAAACAGTTTATACAAGAGTTTCGTTCTTATCTGACCGTAGGTATCACCAGACAACTAGCTTCTTTTCAACAAGAAGTTTTGTATAGAAGGATCAAATACATTAGCAAATAGAAAAGCTAATCTGTATTAGTGTATTTCACTGAGATGAAGAACATCTCACATCCCGTGCCCCTAGGAATGTAAAGAAAACCACATAATGAATAAATTGTATTCAATTTAAAAAATGCACACAAAGAAGATGTAAATATTGATCTGGTGAAGAAAAAGTTAAATTAATTTTCTAACAATGGAATTAATACTTCTAATTTTTTGAGACAATCTTAGAGCCATTTATTGCATTGACACTGAATAAGTTATCCCAAATGCCCAATATGGGAATGAAAAAAAATGCGAAATAACCAATAAATGTCCAATTGCAAATTTTCAAGCACACTTCTCACTTGTATAAAATTACCTGGATAACTGTTTTTGAACCCACAAATGCTTCAATCTTCTTCCAGTCACGGTCGAATCTGAGATCAGTCAAGAGAAATACAAAGAGAAAACCATAAGCAAAATTATATAAATAACAAAAAATGAAAATATTTTTAGACCCCCAATTGAAAAAGAAACCCAGAGCACAACAGAAAACCAAGAGGATCCCCACTGCAGCAAAATTCACAATATCCTTGCACAGACAGAACCCAAAATCAACCAATCATGGATCAACAAAACACAACACAGCATCCGAGCAAGTCTTAAATTGTACCACGAATTGAAACTTGAGAGCAAAAAGAAACTTAAACACCATGAATGGATTATGAAATTTATGAAGCAAAAGAAAAAAAAAACACATACAAGTGAAGAGCTTCGAGAAACTTGTCATGCTCGTGGTCGGTCCAGTTCTCTCTGGACTTGGTAATGGTGTAAGGCTTTCGAACCTTCTTATTGGGATCCTCCATGTTGAAGGGGTCGAAGAAGGGAAAAGCTTGAGGGGGGTTTGGGTTGAGGGACACCATAAATAACACTGACACTGTGTTCAACGACCTCTTCTTTAGTTGTGAAGTGTTGTTGGTGTTTGTGCTTGTTGGTAGCTTAGCTTTGAGAAGTTGAGTGGGAATGAATGAGAGGCAGTGATTTTAACTTCCATTTTTTCCACAAGTTGGAACCGACCTTTCTCTCTCTATATATATACAGACACACAAACATGGTAGTAAGACATGTGGCAGAAGTTAGTGGGTTGTTATTCTTTCTGCGAAAATAACGTTTGAGGTTCAGCCAAAAAGTAGGTTTTCTTTTTAAACAAATTTTATATCTTTTTAACAAGCTTAATAATGTGCTTTTTTTGGGGGGAATTTCAATATTTGTACTTTATGGTTGATAAAAACATAAACTTTGTAATCATAGAATGAAATGCACTTCTTAAATGGCATTGAAAAGTTTTGAGACTACAATTAATATGATTTGTATTAAATATTAATTTGAAAGATCCTAAGTTGACTTTCATTCTTATGAAAATAATACGTTACCTATTAACCATGAATCTATGTTTGTTTGCCCCATTTTTTCTTCTGAGGAGATGGTTGCTAGGGGGTGTTTGGCAAGAGGGAGGAATCATAATAGAAGCTGATTGAAACTTAGGTCAAAATTCAAGGGGATAGTGGCTACATTAACTTTGTGGTGGACTTCAAAGTTGGTCCCTAACAAGTTTTCAGCTTAGAATAACTTGGTCTATGTCAACATCAAACAACGATTTTCTATATCGTTTCTTGAAAATGTAAATGTAGGAATACCAAATATGAGTAAAAATAAACTGGAATTTATAATTTATATACATTTATATGTTAATTAGGATTGAACAAAACATATGTAGATAAATTGTACACAATTTTTTACTTAGTTAAGTAATTTTAAGTTTTCATTAATCAATAAAACATTCAAATAGGAATATACTTAGAGTTCTTAAATCATTTGAGTGCATTTCCAGTTAGATATTTTAAAACCTGTCTTAGTATATGATTAAAGTCTATTTAAAAAGTAGGTTTACTTTATACTATAGTCTTACGTTTTACAATAGTCACCATAACATTTAGAACAGAAAAGTAATTTGTTTCGCATATTAAAATTTAGTTTTTTACATTTGTTTCTTCTAATATTATTATTATTATTATTATTATTATTATTATTATTATTATTATTATTATTATTATTATTATTATTATTATTATTATTTTGTCTAGATTTAACGTTTCTCTTTATTTTTTTGTTTCTATTATGAGTGAATAGTTTCTTTATTTAATAATTATGATAACTGATGTTTAATGGAATTCTCTATTATTTATTTTGGTTTTTTCTCTTATTTTTTTCTATTTAATGTGGAAGTAATAATGATTGTTTAAATCATAAGTTGAGTAGTAAAGAAACGAGAGAGGTGAATAATTAGACTTTATAGGTTTGATGAATCAATAAACTAACTATTAAGTGAATACGGTCACTATAAAAAGAATCAATTCAATTAAATACATATTTGTATATTACATTAAACTAATATACTTTCAACAAAAATCAAAAGAGTAATAACATAAAAGATTAAATCAATAAAAAATGTCAATACGAAACTTATTCGTGAAAGATTTCTTATATATCAAAAGTCCCTGTTAAAAAATGTAGTTTTGATTTTTGATTTTTGATTTTTCAAGACGATGTTTTCTGAACAATACAACATGAATTACAAGTTTGGAAACAACACAAAGCCTTTTTAGGTTGGAAGTGGTCATGTGACGTATGTTTGCGTTGTGTGTGGCCTCAGGTTGATGTTGGAGTTGATGGGATTTTTCTTTGTGGCATAAATATCAAAGCTAGATATTTGGGTATAGATAAGGTGACATGGCATTTTGCTTTGCTTCGTCAAATGAATGGTTTACCAAGTGTTGGATCCATGCATAGATTACACGTTTTAACGATCGATAATTATTTATGCCAGACTTCAGATTATAAATATATGATGTTTCGACGTTACGAACGTGGTTTGGTGCCAATAAATGCATGCACAAACAGAACTGTTAATGGTGTGAGAGTTGCGATGTTCATGAATGAGCTCACTTTAATGTTGTGTTTGTTTGAACTGATTTGCGACGAAATACTATTCACGGAGACAGAAACACGACATTCACACACGTTTGGTTGAACTGATTTGCGACGAAATGCAGACGAGAAAAAGGGGGAGATGAGAGAGAGAGTTTCTTCGCTGAGGTGCGAAGAAAAGAGATGAAAGTAATGAAAAGTCGCAGTTACCCTGCAATATATGATAGCGGTTAAATCTTAACCGCTATTATAACAGCACTTCTAATAGCGGTTAAGCCTTAACCGCTATCTAATATACACTTTAGATAGCGGTTACAGAGGAACCGCTATTATATCCTCCAATTATGATCGATCATTTCACGTTATGATCGATCAGAATCAAATTTCGCTCGAGCGAGATATAGTCGCTCAAGCGAAACACAACCCCAGATGCAACAAGGTTCTTAAAAGGAGCTTATAATAGCGGTTAAACCTTAACCGCTATCTAATATACACTTTAGATAGCGGTTACAGAGGAACCGCTATTATATCCTCCATTATGATCGATCATTTCACGTTATGATCGATCATAATTAAATTTCGCTCGAGCGAGATATAGTCGCTCGAGCGAGATATAGTCGCTCAAGCGAAACACAACCCAGACCTTATAATAGCGGTTAAACCTTAACCGCTATCTAATATACACTTTAGATAGCGGTTACAGAGGAACTGCTATTATATCCTCCAATTATGATCGATCATTTCATATTATGATCGATCAGGATGGTATTTCGCTCGAGCGAGTATAGTCGCTCGAGCGAAACACAACCCGAATCTTAAAATATTTTTTTGAATATTATGTTTTTAAATTTGCTATTAGACAAAACCTTTCGTAATTCAAAATGTTAAATAATTTTAAATATTAAAATTAACTTTATCAAAAATTAGGGAAACAAAATTTATCCAAAAGAGTTCAAAATGTATAAGAGTATTCTCAATTTTGATGTTTAATTATATTATTAATTCTCAAAGTAGAAAATTATATTGTAATTATTTTATCTCAAGTTAATGTGATGAGACGATCATAAACATTTCAACATTCGAGTCAGATATATGGGACATCTTCGTCTCTCCAAGTTGTTCATGTTCTTGAGTGGAAGTGATTGAATGATCTGAAGCTGGAGGACTTGATCGCAAAAGATGAATAACATTATAATTATTTGTTTGAAGAGCATTAGTGTGCATAGGTTTAAAATTTTAGTAATGTTTCATTTAATTATTATTCTATTTTCACTTGTATTTTATATTTGTTTTAAATAATAATGTACAATTATATTATTAGTTTTCATAATTATTTGTTATTATCAGATCAATATTAATTATTATTTTATATTTTATAATTATTTAATTATTAGTCAAATAATTTATTTAATATGTCAACATTATTTGAATATGGATATGCAATGTACATAATTTTGTAATTGTTTATTTATATAATTTTTAATAACTATCTAAAAAAAGTTAATTTTTTAAATTTGTTTCCAATTACAAACACTTTTAATTTTGTTTTTTCTTTTAAATATATAATCAATGTTAAAATATGGATAATTAATTAAAAATTTATATTTATAATCATTTGAACCTTATTTTATACAAAGGGTAAAATGGTAATTTTCTTAAATAATCAACATAAAATTATAATTTTTATATCTCATATCAATCAAATCATTCACAATTTCCCATAAACATTCAATTCATCTCCATTTCTCTTCAAATCCCTCCTTTTTCACTCTCTCATTTCCACTCTCTCAAATCACTCCAACCAAACAAAGCCCTTCTGGATCGTAGGTTGTGTATAAAAGTCAACTCATGTCAAACACTAGACATGTAGGTTTGATATACGTTTATAACAATTCATAAAACAATTTCTACAACTTTACTTTCTGTCATGATCTCCTTTCATCTCATAATTTATTGTGTTAAATTTTCTTTCGTTTCTTTCTTACTCTTTTTTGCGTTTTACAAATGGCATTTTCTATGACAAAATTAAGCTCTTCAATAATTTGTCTCCTTTATAACTGACTATTTTTATTTATTTTTTTTACTTGATTTTTTCAATTTAATATTTAATAAAATGTTTTGACTCTAGACAGTAATATGCAGATATAAATACGTACTCAAATGTAGTATAATATAACGAGATTTATATAGTTTTAGTTTTTTTATGAAATACACACACTGTTCATGAACTGTTAATATCAATTATTAACTTAGGTACTAATAATTTAAATAAACAAGTCTAGCTTAAATACATAAGTTTATTTATATAATCAAACAAATAAGTCATTAAATATTTACCAAATTAAGGTCACCCTTAGTTTGAAGTTCTACAGTATTGTCAACTTTCAGCCAATAATTTGTTTTCTCAACACGGTAGAAAAAATGGTTAAAACAAGTATTTATGTATGTGGTTTCTCTTTCTCCCGCAGTTGAGAATGGAAAATGAACACAAATTTTATCGTTATGATGTCGAATAGAACAGAAAAATAAAATAAAAAATTGTTTAGTGATTACGAAATATAACGAGCCGAAACAATAGACAATATATATGCTAATTCTTCAACTATTTTATTGTAATTAATTATTTCCCTTTTCAATAAATATTATCTATTTTTATTTTCTAAATTAGTTTCTTGGTTAAATTTCAGTTGATACTTAAACCCACTATTTTGTATCAAATTAAGTTTATTTAACATATTACTTCTACATGTTGAGTTCAATATTAATAGAATGACGTGGTTTCAAACCGAAAATTAAAATAATTTTGTGAAAATCAGAATTACAAAAATGTTATAATATATAAAAAAATGTTAAATCAACTGAACTGAGACAATTACTGGCCTGGTGCAATACTTCAGAAGGTTGATAATATGGGTTACAGGTAAAACTGCTACAGAACAAAACCAAAATATCATCACACGAGAGCCAAGTGCATCCAGCGAAATCCCATGAAAGTTCCTCAATAAATAATAAAGAAAAAGACGAAAAACAAAAAGAAGAAAAACAAAATTATGCTCTACACTATAAATACATTCCAATCTTTTCACAAAGAAACATTTGAAAGATCATCAAGTCACGGACAGGAGTGATTTACAATCTCCTTTTTTGAGTATTACAGACCTACAATCATTCTATTCAATCCAACGAGTAACTCCATCTTCGCCTACAGTTGCCAATATCTCAACGCGTACATCCAAAACAGCCTAGTATTTGTGTCAACAAGGATTAACCAATCAGTTTGCAGCATTTTACAAACTAAATTGTCAGCTTGTATATTATCATAGCCAATGACAAGCATGAATATAACAATGAAAGCAACACAAATTAAGTATTTATTGTATACAGTGATGCCACAGAGAGACGATTTGCTCTAAGCAACTGATGAAAGAAGCTAATACTTGACAATTTGTGTTCATAGGAAAAACTAAATGGGCAAGCGAAGAAGCAAAAATAAGCCTTTCAATGCCATCTTCTACATCTCTCCAACGTATGTTCCACACAAAGTAAGAGAATAGCTTTGAGGAAAATTGTGAAAGATAGTGCTGTAAAATTACTAGTTATAACTCATTTTGGAAGCCTCAACACCATAAGCAGACAACTCAAATGTTTTGCAACTAGTTACCAAATTGCAGGGAATCATATAAATCTCATACCGATGTATCAAATGGATCGCAACAAAATAACATTAAAATAACAATGAGAACTTACAGATGGGTTTCTGCAGTTCACCAATCTGCATTCCTGTAAGGAACCTTCTAATGTCCAATTCTCCCAAACATCAAAACTATGACTAGCAAAGACAAACTCCATTCTTCTATTGATCTGCAAAAATGTCAGTTTATAACCAAATTAAAAACAATGTGTTTGCAGTGAAACATAAATAGTAGATTTAGCAATATATCTAAATATTTAGCTTTTAATGAAAATATACTACTCAAAAACAGAAATACAGTATGCAAAAGAATCAGCATACATGATAATAATAAATTCTAATGGAAAATACGATAAATTTGATAGACTCTGAGAATTAGAACGGAACTACCTGCAATAATTTTCCACCAGCAGCAAGAGATCGCAATCCAATGGTGTCCTGAAGCAAATGTATTAACATTCCAAAATCAGCTAATTTGCATCGCACTTGAGTTAAAAATACATCTTATACCATTCTAAATCTAAACTACTTGAAATACGTGCTGTCATGTAATATTAAGTGACTAGGATAATTGCTAAGTTCCGTCAAGACAAACCTTGCTTCTGAAGATGATGAGGAACTGTGCAGCAGGGTCTCTTTTTGACACATTAGACATGGAATCCATGATCCAACCTCCACCTTTAACTCTTTGCCTTGAAACATGAAGTGCAGGGCGGTCTCTAGCATACAGAGCTATAACATAACCATCTCTCAATAGTTCAGTACAGTTTCCACTAAGTCTCACACTTGACTTTATAGCTTGAGAACTAGTCGGTTCTTGCATAGATTCCATTGGAGTTTTTCTACTTCTTGAGTCTTCAGAGCTGGAGCTCAAAGCTTGGTCAGTGCCACTCATAGCAGTATCATCTCTTTGAGATGTGCCTTCTTTCTCTAGTGCAGAAGGATCTTCTGATTTTTGTTGGGACTTTTGACGGGTATGCCTTTTTTTGGCCTTTTTACCTGACCTGCTGCGCCTTCCTTCAGACTTAGCAGAGGTACTTTGAGACAAACTTGAAACCTGATGCTGGGATGAAGACTCCTTCACTTGAATACTTCCTTTCTTTTGGGAACTGTCAGGACTTGAGTGAATATCATCTGTTTTCTCTCTAACAATAATCTGGAGAGCATTTTCTTTGTATTGCTGATCAGATTGTTCACTTTCATTGTCAACCTCACTTTCTTCTTCCATATCTGACATGGCATCCTTTGGAATAATTCTGTCAATGAAGAATGTTTGTAATATCGATATAGCTTTCTCCCTAATCTCCATCCAAACCTCTTCACTGTAATCTGCACTTCGGGGAAGTATCAACACATTAGGCATCTCCTTCACCTAATCCAGACATACCGAAAGTATGTTAGTATCATCTATTTACTAAACTATCATTGATAGTATCACCAAAAGTATAATCTAATATATATAAATAATCAAGAGTAGCAAATACAAAGCAAATTCAACCAAGTCAAACAAACTTTTGCAAAACCCAAAATATTAAGTCTTCTAGATGAAAAGTTCCTTATTTATCAAAATGCTAAAATCAGTTGGTAAGTATATAAGGGGTTTAAAATCTCCCACTTATCATGAGGTGAGAGCAACTTATTTGAAAGAGACAGTTGTTAATAAAATCCTAGTTAGGAGGAGTACTACAGTATTGATGGGGAAAATGTGGCTTACGAAATAAATAAAAAATGGTTGTCAAAGCGGGATTCAAATTTGGAATCCAAAGGCCCTTTTAATATCTTAAACAAACATATCATAACATGACATCTTTCATATTTGAAGATCAATATGTTGTTAAGGAATTAAAGATGTTCTTGAAAGCTTATTCACTATAAGAAGTTGAATGAGTTATATATAGTTATGGTCTTTTGTGCAACAAATCCAGATTTTAATCAAATTTAGGATCATATCGTAATAGGTCAAGAAGTTTCATCAATGGAGAGGTTAACAACAAAATTTCTTCATTTCCTAAACCTTAAAGGTACAATGCTCATGAATCTACTAAATCATCTACCATGGTGTCGACTCGTGGAAGGAGAGATCATGGTGATAGAGGACTACTACTCTTTTACATGGTTTTTCTAACAAGACAGCCAATATCTCCAAATCTGAAATGGTTGAACAAAACTTTTCTGAAATAATATCATAAATATTTGAGATGCAAATCCAATAGCCTGGCACAACCTTCTACATATCCTAGTTTGTCAACAACTTGCATTTCATAATTCGTTGAAAGTCAAAATCCATTGATAATTAATTCAAGTGCTTAGAATCATATTTCTAGTAATACCTACTTGTTCTCTTCCATTTCTTCTCCAATGTTTGCTCACTTTAGAACCTGAGCCAATCCAAGGTTGCTTTAGGGAGGTGGTCAAGTTTTTCTTTCTCCTCTAAACTTAAAATTTGTTCTCCTTTTTACTACATGCCCCTTTAAAACTTATTTCTTTAAATCAATTAACCAAGTTGTTAAATTATTCAATAAATTTTTATGGGAATTCATTTCTTATTCATGAATGTGGTACAACTCATATGATTGGCACAGAACTTGAATCCAAAGGACTACAATATTTTGGAACCAATTCATCTATGTTCTCTTCTCTCTTTGCATGATCTCTTAGGTCATCCAAACTTGCTAAATTTGAAGAAAATGGTTCTTGAACTTAGCAAACCTCAAGTCATAAAGTGTAAATCATGTGAATAAGGGAAACATGTTAGATCCTCTTTTCCAAAGTGAATTGAAACAAGTTGTAACTTTTGTTTTCCCACCATTCATTCTTACTTTTAGGGACTAAATCATATCACATTTTTGGGTTAACACAGTGGCAGATCATGACCACCCCCTCCTCAAAGTTTTGTAACTTACATTTTATGATTTTGGCCCCCAAACTTAATGATCATTAAATATACCTACTTGTATATTTACATATTTGACCTCCTACATTTTCATATTCTTTAACTTTTTCATATTTTTTTATTATTTATTAATAATATCTTATTTGATCTCCAAAAATCAATTGTCAAGATCCGCCACTGGGTTCACATATTATTACATTCATGGATGAATATGTCATATGGACTTCGATTTATTTAATGAAATATTGTTCTGAACTTTTGTCTCTCTTTATAGTTTTGTAATGAAAACAAAAATCAACTCAAGCTATTAAAATTTTAACAAGTAATAATGCCAAAAATTACTTTTCCTCTGATTTTTTTCACTCTTATCAAGTTCACAATTCATTTTACATGATTTTACTTGTTCTCATATAACTCAACTAAATGGTATCAGACACGGGAAAAAGTAGACATTCAATCCTCATATATCTCAATTTTTTGCAAGATACACATCTCTATATATATGGATCTGGAGATCGAAGAGCGATCTCTCAAGTACCTTTTCTCACATTTATTCTCAAGTAAAAGAAATATCCAAATATTCAATCACAATGAAAAAGAAGTGATTGATTAAATTAAGCAATAAATTTGCCCCCCAACAAAAAATGACAATAAATCATTACGGCCAAAGTCCAAATGGATAATTTGACGATCATTTGTCATCCCCAATTTCAACAACATCCTCCTATATCAAAAGAACTTCCCCTTCCTCCTATATCAAATAATCTCTTCAATTTCATCTTCGTCTTTTATTATGAATTTCCCCTTCATCTCAACCTTTGCATTTAAGTTTCTTAAACCAATAAAACAAAAAGAAAAGAATAAGCAAGACAATATGCATTTAAACTTTTAATAAATTTTATTTTGAGTTCTAATTCTAAATATAATCAGATAGCTTTTTTCCTTTCCTTGCTAGGAGCCTCTCATCAGAAGCAAAACATCCATGTAGCACAGCACCAACTGGTAAGAAAGGTTTCTCTTTTTCAACAATTCATTGATGATTGGATTCAATATTATATACCCTACATTTTTTTGTTTTATCTTCAGTTGAAAATTATTCTTAACAAATGCAAATGCATTTATTCTTTGTTGCTCCTCGCGATTTCTTCTCTTATTATGCACTTATTCAAATGTACTTGAATTCGTATTACATCTGACAGAAGTAAAACTTCCTTTAAACATTCAAGTACGGAATGGCTGAATACGTTGTAAATTAAAGAATTCAAAACATAGATTTACCGTACCCATGCTTCCATCCACTGAGGCCCTTCTGCACCATCCAAAGCACATCCAGCTAAGGTTCCATCAATCAAGAGCTGCTTTACAGCACAATCATCCAAAAGCTGACTACTGCCCGTATTTACAAGA